CAGCGTCTACACCAGCTGCTACTGGTAAGGGCGCCGGGCACGTGCGCGGCGCTGCCCCAGCCCCCCTTGCAGCCCCGGGCCGCGCTCCCAGCCGGGGCGCACGGAGCCGGCCCCAGGAAACGCTGCCTCTGCCCTGCTCCGGTAGCGAGGGCCGGAAGGGAAGCACTGGCCTCTTCAACACTGCGTCCCAGGGGCCCTTGCACAGCTGAATTATGCAAAAAGTGATCGATTGCTACGTGCTCGTGTTCCTGCGGCGACAGCCGAGAGCCGCTGTTAAGGAGCAGCGTTGCCTGTCTGGGGACTGGGCCGGCCATTCACGTCTTGCTGCGGGCTCAGGCAAGGGAGGCTCCAGCCAGGCTGCCTGGCAGCGTTCAGGCTGTAAATGAGGTCAAGCAAGTGGTGTGTGGGGCTTGGGTCAGCTGGGTCCTCCCCACCTGAGCACCCTGCCCCTGCAAACTGTGCTCTAAACTCTGCACCCTGGCCTGCCCTGGGCGGGGAGCATCCTGCCTCTCTGAAATGTTGCCCATTTGCGGGCAGAGGGCCAAGTCCCCTGCTAGAAAGGAAGGCAAAAGCCCTCCCAAGTATGTACCGGTCTGTCCAGGGGGTACAATTCCTTCCTGACCCCACTGACGATGGGTCTGACTCTGAGCGGAGGGGCGAGATCCTCCAACCAGGAACCTCCGGCTTTGGTCCCAGTGGAAGCACTGGCACACCCCAAAGTCCCCAGGCTTGGCTGTAGCTAACTTCCAGTGCCTCTGGGGAGGCTTAAAAACACCCTGATACAGGTAGCAGAAAGGCGGGGAGGATTAACCAGCAAAGCCCAGAAGCCTGGCAACACCCATGATTGAACATGGGCACAGCTCAGCGTAGATCATCCCCAGCCAGCCGCTGTTCAGTGGCATGGTTAAGATTATTCCTGTACTGTCCTTCTATTTAAAACATTACATGCATTTCGCCACCTGCATTTTTCTTTTCAGGCCAGCTTTTTATTAAAGGGGCTCAAAAGGATACTCAACTCAAGGGTAATTTCTTCAGAGGAAAGAGGAAAAGAGAAAGGGAAAAGTCCGGCACAATAATAACTCTGGATACTGCACAGCATTTATAATGGGGCCAGCCAAATGCTGCTGCTTGGCTGTCAGACATTTGAACTGCAGTGCTGTTTATTAATTGTATGTGAAGACTTGTTTTATAAAAACAAAACAAAGCACTGTAGGTTTAAGCTCTAGATTTTATCTTTACAAAGAGGCGTGTAAAGGAAGGATCGGCGGGAAGTCCTGGACAGAAGCTCAAAGTGGGAAAAGCACAGTAGCTATCCTGCTTTGAGTTTTATGAATTGGGAATGAAGCAGACACTTAAATAAAATCCCTTGTGTTTTACAGTGAAGAAAACATTTGGAAGCTTTGTGAATACATCCAAAGCCAGGATCAGTATCAGTTAGAAGAATTTTATGTTATTTTCATATCTAATGACAGAAAGATGGTAAGTTGTTTTCCATATCACTAATTTGTCACCACCAAATTGAGATTTAGGCCTTTTCACTGTGGTGGGAAGATGGCCCAGGCACATGCGTGGTGGGAAGCCAAAGAAAGATCCTCAAGTATTTTTGTCATGCATGTGTTAGTCAGGACTGTGGAACCTGAGATGTATTAAATCCCTCAGCCTAGTAGGAAACAGATGGAACAGGTTGTAGGATACAAAATAGGTCCCCAATTAGGAACTCACCAAAAAAACCCTCAGACTAATAGAAGCTTAATAATAAGAATAATAATTATAGATACAACATAAACCGATTAAGTTTGTCAGCCAGTAGACAATAATCTGTCCAGTAGTAGTCTGAAATCTTACCTGTTTGTTTAATCTTACTTCAAAGAACTTCTTAATACTTGTAATTTGCAGATACCACTTTGGAAGCAGAGATCAGGATGTGGAGATAAACCTGTAGTTTGGGTAAGGCATTTGATTCCCTTTTATGTTGGTTCTTTTACATACTTTTGTCTGCAGTGTTGTATCGTCTTTTAGCAGCACATTAAACACTGCAACTAGCATTGCCACATATTTCTCCTAATATTTCTTCTCTAAATCAAATATTAATGTGGGCATAACGGACTAGATGCACTTAGACTTTATCTTGCAGCTTCACAGCAAGAAGCTTAGCAGTCCTGGGCCTGGCAAGTAGTAGACAACTGTCAATCTTCTGGAGCATGGTGTACACCTAGGAGTAGTCAGATGCCTGATCCAATGCCTGACTGGCAAGCCCAGTTTGAGAGTGACACAGCTTGTTACAAGTTTCATGGATCCATATGTTGTCTGAGTTGGAGTCCATATTTACAGCATGCTGCTTTCTTCTTTCTTGCTTTGCTTCCATCCTCTGGATTGAAGCTGCTTGATGTGAGCTGCACCCAGTGACATATATGGACAGGATTCTGTGCTCCTCCCAGCTTTCTATGTTGAAGTTGAGCCACGTCATGTCATTTTTGCACACATTGTGGTAGCACCATAGAGGGTGATCCCGCTTTTTAGAGATCTCACTATACAAAATATTCTTGGGGTTACAGTCTGCACGCTCCAGTACCTCTGCACTTGGTATTCCGTCTTCCCATTTTATTTGCAGGATCTTACACAGACATCTCATGGGGAAGCTGTTGTCTCTTGATGTGCCTAGCATATGTAGTCTGTGTTTCTGAACCATAAAGCAGGAATGACAGCACAGAAGTCTCCTAGATATGCATCTTCACCTTAGCTGATAGTTTGCTGTTATTCCATGCACTTTTCTGTAATAGCCCAAAATTCTTAGCTGCTTCTCTGATTCTGTTAGTTCAATCTGAAGGTCAAGATTTGTGCTGATCATAGAAACCAAGCAGCAAAAACTGTCAACGACAACAAGAGATTTATTCTCCAGAGTGATGTCAGGCACTGGTTCTTCCTCCCCTTGGTACGTGATCACTGTCTTCCTGAGACTAATTTCTGTCCCAAAGCTCTTGCATGGCTCCTAAAATCCCCCCAGGAGATTTTGCAGGGAAGATTCACTGTGGGAAACCAAGCTACATCATCCCCAAACAGGAAATCTCTCTGAACCAGTTCTTTCACCTTGATTTTCATTCTGAACCTTGTGTTGTTGAACAGCCCTCCATCTAGTCTGGTTCAAAGATAAATGCCATTATTGCTTGTATCTGTAGCATGTGGGATTCTAGAGCAGTCTTTCATCCAAGGAATTTCTGTTGAGCGCTTGTGCAATAGTAAATCGTAGAAGCTCAAATGAATGGCAAGACATCACAGACAGGGATAAAGAGGAGGAATCAATGTTGAGGACACTTACCTTATTTTTACACTGGCAAAATAATAATCAAGCCATAAAAGGCTTAAAAGGAAGATTAACAGCAAGGACTATAGTAAACGTACAGAGGAAGAAATAGAGAGAAGATAGCACAGATTATATTATTAACCTGTTATATTATTCCTCAAGAAGTAAAATATCAAAGGCAACACATCTAAAACTGGTCACGCACAAAAAACTTGTGGGATTTATTGGATGGATCTCACTAGGACCAACAGCTATTAATGTGTCAGGGCAAAAACTAATCCCCCTTCCTCTCCAATTCAAGAAATTTTACTGAATTTTCTGAATCATACAGTAATAGAGCACCCATCAGAATCTGGAGTAGCAATTCCCAAGTTCCAGTAAATAAAGGCTGAGAAAGTACTTTTAGTATAAACCCTTGTATTTAGGTGCTGAATTTCAAATATAAAAAGTGGCATGTGTCATCTCAGTCTGGGAGGGATTTGATTGGAAGAACTTAATGAAGGCTGTTTGCCATATTTTTTAAATTGCTGCAAGAGTCCTTCCCAGAAGTAGTAGGCTTTATACCTTAGCTTAAAAAAACTGTAGCATCTGTTTTTAATGAGATTTAAATGATGGGAGAAGAGGGGGAGTGGGGAGCAGCCACTATAGAATTGAACAATTTTCCACAAAAATGTTTTGAAATGAAAGGTTTTGATTAACACTCAATAGGCATGACAGTCTTCCCATTCTAGTCTCAACTAAAGCCTTTGAAACATTGTTATTGCATTGACCTGCATTTCCAGTACAGGTACCAGTCTAGTAATATAACTTGCTTAAAGATCCTTTCAATTCTTAGTCCCCAGTGGCTAGGGCTGTCACATATATTATGCTTTCAGGATGGCGTTTTCCCCTGAAAATATCAAAAGACTTCATCTCAGACTTTGTAAGTGGATTTCGCATTCACTTTACTACATTGTAATCAATGTGATTCATCTAATTGTAAAAAATGACAGTACAAGCTGCTGCTTACCTGTGTCACTGGGCAGTACTCTAACTATCTTTTTAGGGCCTGGTTTTATTCATAAAACTTGAGTAAAGGGTCAAAACAAAATGGTTCCTATGTCCATCATTGACTCCGGCTCTCAGAGGCAAGGCTTTCACCCAGACTCAGGAGCTGTAACAGAAATCCCTTTCCCTCTTACAGCTCTCCCTCAGCCAAGCCATTTGCCAGCTGGATAATTACATGTTCCTTCCTCAGCTGGGGCTGATAATTGAAGAGGGCCGACCGGCCCCAGGTGCCCTTGTCTTTAATGGGCAGATCACCTTGTTTCAGAAAGGTAAAACACAGCATTCAAATTACGCAGTAATCTCTTCAGAAACAAGCAAGCTGTCAGCATTTTTGTGCCAGCTTTCATTGGCGCTGAGACAAAAAAGAAAGACAGGTAACCCCCTTTTTTTTTTAACTCTGGTTTGGAGAACGGGGGAGATAGTTCTGTTATTTTGTGGGAGTCTTACGTACCTCAGTTTACCTTCTTGATATTATTCAGGCTGATTGTACAGACTTAGATTAAAGGAGGCTGTTATGGAGGAACAAGTATGAAGTGAATCAACAACAGGGATAATATCTCCAGGCAAACTACTAAGGGTCCTTAAGAGAATTGTTGCGAGGGAGTAGGCATTACGAATTATCTACCTACCTGTTACCTGAAGGGCTACAAACATAATTTTTTCAAGGTAAGAGACTAGGATCAAAAGAACTCCTGGCTGTTAAAGCCCTCAGTTAGATGGAAAAAGAGATTGGACCATACAACAGGTTTTCTGGAAGGCAGTAGTATTGGAGGAACCTGCTGCAAGGCTGTGGGACTGAGTGGGAGGATGTCTGCAGGATGTGCCCAAGATCACTGAAGAGGTCTGACCAGCTACAGCCAAATGCAGAGCTCTCTCCACTGGCTTCGGGTGGACACGTGAAATATCTGTTCGGGAGAACTCGTTTCAAATCACCGTAATCGGCTCCTGGTCACGGCTACCCACAGAAGATTGTGGAACTGGCTCCAATTTTAGCTGAACCTGATGTGTTAACAGGAAGGCCACTATCCTGAGGTTCACTCCAAGTGCTGTGGCGTTCCTGCCGGAGATGGGAAAGTAGCAAAACCTGTTAACTGAAGGGGTTCACTCATGAAGGACTACGGAGAGTCATAAGGCACCATGTGCCTCTTACCATGGCAGAGCAGTGGAGGAAGGGGCAGCTGTAGCCTGATCCAGTCTATAGTAGGGTGATCCACAGAGTTACTGTCCTCTATTGATATGAAACCTTCATGTCAAATAAGAGAAAGATAGAGGACATAAAGGCGTCGGATTTCGTATCAGTAGAGGACAGTGGACACTGAAACTGTCTCCTAAGATGACCGCCCTAATATCTGTCCATGGTGTCAGGAAAGAGTGCGGGCCCAGCTCACCCCCCCCCTGTGCTGTCATGCATGTATTGTGCTTTGCTAATGATGTGAGACAGGATTAATTCTTGATCATTAGCAACTCTTGCTAACTATCAGTAACTCTTATTTCTAGGATTACCATGTTATTTTACTTCATGATTCCAGCGGAGACCAAAGCTTCATTTATGACCTTGACACAGTGTTGCCATTTCCGTGTCTGTTCGATACTTACATTGAAGAGGCTTTTAAATCAGACGATGATATTTATCCAGAATATCGCAGGTAAGAGGACAGAATACAAGGCCCGCACTGTATATTGAATTAAGTATCTCCGCCACTGAGTGTGTTCGAATTGTATGTTTGTTTAGAAAAATCAGGGCAGTTCGAGCAGATGTTTATCTGAAGATGTTTGCTTCTGACCGCTCTCACATGAAAGACAGCAGTGGAAAGTGGCTGAAGCCTCCTCCCTCTTACCCTTGCATTGAAACGGCAGGTAAGGTTCTCTACTTCCACAAAAAAGACATCTGTGCTTTTGGACTGCATTAAACTATAAAAATCAGAGATTGACATGGGCACCATACCTTTAAAAGCATAGTCACCTTTCCTTTTGCAACAGAGTTCATTACTATTTCATCAGAAAAAATATGGGCCTAGAAAACAGTTGGCATTTACCTGTAGGACAATATTCAGCACATTATCCAGTACTTAACCATCTTTAAAAGTTCATTAAGACCTCGGGGGTTGGGAGTAAGCATTATTGTCCTTTTATTACAAAGGTGGGAATGGGTAAGTGACTTGTTCAAGGTTTGGCAAGGCCTTCACATCATGGTTTTGGCAGCTGAACTCAGGTTCTTCTGACAAAATTATAGGTGTGTCTGACTCCCCTGAGGCAGCAGAAGTCCGTCCTTCTGCAAGTGACAGAAGGCTTCTTCCACCACAGGGAAACCACCAGAAGATATATGTGAATGACACCATTCTGTCTGGTGGCAGCCACAGCTGCTGTAACAGCTGGTGCCTCCTAGGGTACACTGTGCACCTCACCAGCACACCTGCTATAGTGGAGCCGTGTGGGGGCACCAGAAGCCATGTGGGTTGGGACGGTTCCTGTGGCTTCCCTGTGTTGTTTTGTCCCGAATAGGGAAGCTTTCCTGATTTACAGGCTAAGTTCTGTCTCAGAAGGCTTGATTCAGCAAGGTGCTAAGCCCTCCAGCTCCAGTCCAGCTAAGAACACTGAATTATCATTAACTATGCAAGTAGTCCTGGTGCAGTCCATGGGACTACTCATCTGCTTACAGTTTGGTACATGCTAGATAAGTATTTGGATGTATCAGCATCTTCAACGACTAAACACTTAGGGCTAAGTCCAAATAGAAGACTTGCGCTCCTACTGGTCAGGTGATGTGATGCCAAAGTTGTAGCGAATTTGACTCCTGGAGTGGAATCCAACATCCAGTGTGATGGGTCTGGATTTTTGACCCATCTCTTCTCCGTACTACCCAGTCTACTTTACCTCCTACTTTGTCTGCCACAATTTGATGGAAATCAGTGTGTATCTACAGGGAGGCTGCCCTTGGAGACGGGGATAGTCCTTTTCTAGGTGTCTTAAGCTTCCTTGATGCCCCCCAGGCATGCCCATGCCTTGCTGATGGTTTCCTGTCTGCCCCTTTGTAGAGACTCTCCTCATGCTCTTTCTTTTTCTTTACCTAGAATTAACACTGGCCCCTCAGGCCCCAACCTCAGTCTTTTTGGCTTCAGTCCCTTCATCTGTAGCTGAAACACTTTGGCTCAGGTCTACTATTTTGGGCCCTGGCGCTCCAGGCCTCAGCCCTACAATGAAGGGTGCCTGCCTGGTAATCTATTTGTTATCCCCTTTGCCCCCACAGCCACTCCCAGTCCTCTGGCTTAAAACTAAAACAAAAAATGCAAGCAATTGCTTTAAACTCAAACTCTCAAAGTTTGGGTTCCCTGTTACACCCAACCTATGCTTTCCATACAGGGCATAGCAGGAGTTAAGTGCCTGAGAAGGGTGATCTAAAAATTTGTATACAGAATAGGGAGCTGCCAAGGGCTGGCCAATGGGATGAACTAAGCAGTATAGTTTTGCTAAACTGCTTCCCTCCATCCCTCAAGAGCTTAGCTGCCTGAGTCAGGGCTGCAGTCAAATGCCTCCTCCACTTGGGATCTGGAGTTCTCTCTGTGAATTTTACATTCATTTTGCATCCCTTTCTTCCCAGTGGCCCCTTTCAACAGGAGGGGTGAGGCGTGCCCCCCTCCCACAATCCTAGTGTATAGCCTGGTGGTTAGGGTACTTGTCTAGGAGGTGGGAGATGTGGGTTTGAATCCTCTCAAGTTAAGAAAACAACTACCCAGTTTTCTGACTTCCTTGGTGAGTGTGCTAACCACTAGGATATTATGCAGAAGAGGGCATTACTCCTTTTGCTGCAGTTTTGCTTTGCTTTCAGTAGTCACTGGGAGATTGATGCCAATTCCGGTAGACTCGCGGCCACTCCAGGAAGGAAGGTTGGCAACCCTATTTTATAGGGTATTTTTTGACTCGCCCCTTTTTTGTTTCCACTTCCTTCCCTTAAGCATCTTCTGTCTTGATGCCTCCTGCTGTGCATTTCACTTTATTTACCCTGACTCGGTTCCTTCTGCTCTATCTATTCTCTTCACTCAATTTTTGTTTACTTGGGACATTCATGTTCCTATGCACATGGATTTCCACAGAAACCCAAGACTTTGACTAAAGGGAATTTGGCCTGACTTCAGTGGGACTACTCATGTTGAATCAAGGCTGTCATTACCAATGACACAACCCCAAAGTTATCGGCACTGTGGCAGGATAGGTCCTGGGTTGGCCATAGTACCTCCTAGGGGCCACTCTAATCCCACTCATGCTCCCAGTCTTTTGTATAACCTGCCCTGTTTATCTCTCCTGCCATGCCTTGATGTTCTGGTGATGCAACTGGGAGGCTTCCCTTAAGCCCTGGAGTGCTCTCACCAGTGCCTGACCAATCCTGACTGACCTTGTGTGGTCTCTGGGCCCTTTGCCCATTAACCATAATAACAGTTCTCCACAGGGATCTGTCGTGCCCTGGCAGACCTACTGGTGTCAGGTTGGCACTGTGAGCCAGTGATCACCACCTATAGCCCTTATTTAAATCTTGGGGCTCTTAACTGTGGCCTCCAGTCTTTCCCATAGCCATGACTATGCCCCACAGGTGTCACTCTGGCATCATTTACTTTCTTGTATAGGCTTTCACCGCCTTAGCCTTAGCCTACAGGTTACTCTGGCTGTAGACTGGTAACTTAGGCTCACTGGCCTGGCCTGGCCTTTCAGTCTCAGCCTCAGACCACCTCCATTACCCCCTCTGGGCTCCAACCCTGGCCCTCTCAGCCTTAGCTTGTTTCTATCTCATGCTCTTGCCTCTGGCAGGGTTTAAAACCTGGCATGCTCCTCCAGCACTCCTGTAGCCTCCCCTCCATCCCTATTATCCACACCAGTCCTCCAGCATAAAACGAAAACAAAAAATCCAAGCAACCACTTTAAACTCAAATCTCAAACTCAAAACTCTGGGTCATCATATTACTGCCAAGCCACCACCCCATTCCCTGGCTCTCTCAGCCCTGGGAGTACCTGCCATGGCTTGCAGCTCCCACTCCTTGCCAGCCTGAGCTGGCCAGAACTGTTCTTCCTGGAGAGTTCAGTGTTGTACCACCCCTTTGCTTCAGGGACCCAGGCTTATATCTCCTGGGCTCTTCTCCTTCCATGAGGAGTTATCCTGGCTGGCTGCAGGTGCATCCCCTCATGCTCCAGGGCAGTTTACTGCTGTTTCTTTGATCAAATTATACTAGTGCCCATGCTACCTAACCAGAGCTCTGCCCTGTTGTCCTATTGCTAGGCAGCTATTCCTGCAATAGGCATTTGCTGCCTACTCCCTGCCTAAGAATCCACTGTCTTCCCCACACCTGGGGACGTTCCTGCTGTGGCTTTGCCCTTAAAGTAACAAGAGCCCCTGGCTCCCTGTTCCAGGTAATACTTTACACATAGTTTGGTACAGTTCAGTGTAGCTCTTAGTTTATACCTAGAAGGCAGAATTAGAAGAAATTGAACAGTTTTTCACCAGGAAATTCTGTAGGAGACAGTCTTCCCTCCACCAGTAATGAATGTTGAACAGAGTGAATGTTTCATTGCTGGGTTACAGGGAAGCTGTGTTGCTTGAGATGATGCCACGTGGGTGGCAGTCTCAGTGTTTTGGCCAAACTCTAGTTCAGATAACATTCTTTCTGCCTCAGTTCTCCCTGCAGGTTCAATTCGATGTGGTATTTCACTTCCCTCATTAATTTGTGTTGTGCACAACTGAATTCCCGCATATTAGTGGTGACTGCAGTTCAGTGTTAGCAGCATTGATCCCGTAGGTTACACGGGGTCAGTTTATTTGGAGGGCACTTCGGTCCATCAAGGTGAAAAACTCTCTGTTTCTTTACCTTTTTTTGTTTATTATCATTATATTATACGTTTTATCGTTTAGAGTAGTTGAGTTTCCTAGAGCTAGTGAAAGGATAATTAAAAGGACTTAGTCTCTAATATTGCTATATCTTTTTGTTTGTACTCTTACTAAAACAAACACCACAAATCTCTAAAAATACACTTAGAAATCTAACCCTCTTTTCTTTTATGGTGGCATTTATTACAGTACCCTACTTTTGTGACTGTAGCAGGCTGTTACTCCTTTAGCCAGGCTCAGGAGCCAGCCTTCTCCCTTTCCTACCTCAAACTAAACAAAATAACAGATCATCTGCCACCCCCCATCCTCATCTAAACTACCCCTGTATCCCCATTCTATTCCTACCCCCATGCCTTTGAGCCCCCAGCCCCCCACTCTTGCCTGCCCCCAGCCCCGCCTGACCTGGCCACTGCTAGCTCCTGCTTTTGCCGGGCCAGGCTGACGGCTCTCCGGGCCACCTCCACAGCCCGGTCCACCTTCTCCTTGACCTTGCTGCGCCGCAGTGGGATGAAGTTCTTCACCTTCCCGTTGACCAGGCGGTTGAGCTTGTACTTGCCCTCCTCCTTGGTGCCATCAGGGTAGGTGGTGCGCCCATAGCCATGACGACGGTTGCCCAGCCACTCACCCTCATACCGGAGCCCGTTGGAGCGCCGGCTGACCCCATAGCCACTGCGCCGGTCGGCTCGCCACTCCCCAGCGTAAACCTCAGTGGAGGATCCTTCAATGGCCAAGCGTGAAGGCATCTCAGGGGGTTCTGTCTCGGCATAGCTGAGTGTGGTGGCCTCGCTGCCTGTTGAGCTGACCCCAGCCTCGCTCTTGAGGGAACCCCTCTTACTCCCTAGGGAGGCCTTGGACTCTGCCCGCCGCACCCGCAGGCCGCTCAGAAGCAGGGAGCGCCGGAAGAAGAAGCCCCCTGACTTTTTCTTGGTCCCCTTGGGAAAGTCTGGGTCACCTGGAAAGGCCAGAACAAAGCCACCCCGGGAGC